GAACATATCATAAATTGATAAAATATGAGTTTTTGTGGCCTTATAAAGTGTGCAAATCTACATGTGAGGTTAAATCTGATCTAAATATTTCTTGTCATTTCATGTTTCATGTTTAATCCTAATAAATCAAAGATAAAGTCAGCACCATGAAAGAAAACTACCTTCACTACAGCCCTTTAGTCATTTGACCAATGGAAACACTGTGTTTCTACCTATAGGATAACAGCTTACAACCTTGTAACTTTGGCAACTGTTGGTGGGCCTAACCAAATGGCTTGGCGGGCCAAACTTGGCCCACGGGCCCCACTTTGGGCTCCTCTGCTTTAGAGCTTTAACTACACACTAAATGCTCTAAGAGCTTCTCAGTGTTAATGAGGGAAACAACAAAAATGTGACCAGTCAGCTGCACATTCCCACAACTTTACTGGAAGTTTGAGTGTTTGAAAAGAAGCTGCTGGTATTCAAACATTAAACGAGACAAAAAAAAAAAAGCTCTTACTGAATTTATCCACTGTTYCTGTGAACTATTGAAACGTTAAACAACTAAAAAATGTCACTGATTATCAAAGACTTTCAATGTTTTGTCCATAATGGTTTATTTTATTAATTTATGTTTTTTTAAATCAAACTAATTGTTTTCTAGATCAGTGCTTGTTCCTGGAAACTTTGTGTTATTGTTTGCATTATTGTGATGTCTGTGTGTAACTAGAGTTCATGGATTTTTTTTACCATTTTGCTTTCACAGCAGTTTGGTCTCTATGCAAATGTATTTGTGATTCTTTGAAGAATGTGTTTTTTATTTCCAAACATCTTACAACCTCAGATGCAGCTACTTTATTTTCAAATCTGTTTAAAATGTCTCAGTATTTATTTTGTGCCACATTAGGGAATATTAAATAAGTTTTGATATTTAAGACTTTTTTGCGGTGCTTTACATAAATAAAGCATATTGTAAATGATAAAAGGACCAGTGGGAGTTGTGCCTTTTTGTTACAGTTAGCTGTAAATGTAAACATGTTGAACGTTAAGCTTCTCACATCTCTACTGGATGACCAGTCTGCCCAGACTGGAATCACTTCTTCATGTGGAGCAGACACGTTCTCAACACTGGTGGCATTAAMCTGTTGTCGTGCAACTATTTTATTTAATTAATTAAGTGTATTTATGTCTTTTTGGCTCAGCAGGAAGTTTGCTAAATAAAACAGGAAATCAGATTTCTGCAATAATCCAAATCTTTATTCAGATCATTAATAGAGAATTTAATGATTTTCTTATAGAAAATAAATCCCAGTCTTTGGTTTTTACAAAAACACTGAAGTTCCCACTATAGAAAAATAATTTGTGTGTAAATCATTCTCACAGTTTCTTCACAAGTGAAAAACTCACACATTGATTCTTTGAACGTGTGTGTGTGTGTGTGTGTGTGTGTGTGTGTGTGTGTGTGTGT